GGAATCGGGAGCAATTCGGGGTTCAGTATCTTGCTCAAGGATACTTCGACACGTGGCGGGAGGAGACGGGGATCGAACCAACAACCTTCCGATTAGTGGACAACCCGCTCTTCCTCTGAGCCACAGCAGAGCTGCAATGCAAAGCAACCTCTAACAATGAACAGCCGATATATTCGTCCAATCGCACAACTGTAGTTGTCTCATCCTAAATGTGTGCTGTCTAGGACTTTGCTTGATAATCAAATGTCGGGCAAAACAGCGTAATAACGAGGTAGTGTTGTGCTGCACTGATGTTCTCTTGACCTCCAGATTGTGTAACATTTAGTCACCTGACTATAGGAATCTTTGTGTTTTCGTTACCTTAGAATGAGACCTTTTTACCTGCAGAGGAAGCGGTGGCGGAGTCCGCCATGTTTCTACAGTAGCCCAGAATGGACAAACCAAACCTTCCATGTTTTTCACAGGCACCATAGTTTCTCCTACACACCGTTCTCATTCCCAGTTCGTCAAATAAAGACCCCAGTAGTGTTCAGTTAGTTGGAATATGCAACTTTACCGCTAGATGCCGCTAAATCCTACACACTGGTCCTTTAAGCAAACATGTCTGTTGGGCACAAATCCAAACAAATGTCACATCATCATAATTTAGTTTAGTTTTTTTCAGTAAAAAATAAAATGTTATTTTATAATAATATCTGTAAAATAATTGCAATATGCTGTTTTTACCATTCTGTGCAGCCCTCGTGCTGCCCCACAGCATACATATTAACGTGTTAAAAAAAAGACATCTTTTTTTAGAGGCTACTTTACTCATGTGGCTAACCTTTTCCTTGGCAAGTGAACAGCAAATATTGAAGTCTTCACATATTGGAAACTTGCCTTCTGTGCATTTACGCACAGATGAAATGCAAGCTGCCGCACTGGCAGTCCGGGGCAGTGTATTTTCATCACTCCTCATCTTTATTTCTCATTCCTGACATTTTAAAAACGGGGCTCATATTCTGGAGCCTAAAAATTAAACAAATGTTTGTTGAATAAAATGTGCCCACAGCTGCAGGACTTCGTCCCAGACAAACACTGATTGGATCCATAGGAGCCATTAGTTTTTAATATAACCAGGAGGGGCGCACGGGGTGCCACATTTCTGAGTGTGAGTGCAGAGAAAATGAAAACAACTTACTACATGATTAAGGCTGTTGCTGGCCTAAATTGTTACTTTAAAAACTAGGTTGCTCATCAGAGTGTTAACATTACACCGCTTCTGACCCTGTCAGCTTGAAAAATGAGTTTAGTTGAAAATTGTAATTATTTTTAGTCTAGTCTTTTGGACAAGCATTTGTATCAGTCAATTAGATGCACCAGCAGTGGCACACCTTCCCTTCTCCTCACTTCATCTGCCTGCTCACAGCCCACTTTAATTATCTGCGAGCAGGATCTCCTCCACCTTATTAATGCTTGTAAATTCTGCCCAAGTACAAGAATCGCCTTTGGCTGAGACGGTGGGTTTTCTCACCTTAATATTTTTCTGAACTAACTTTGCAGGGGGGGGAATCTGTGGGTGGACAGCAACAGCTGCAGCTGCTCTGTGAGCACAGAAGTGGATGGCATGCGATGGAGAGAGGGCCTTTTCTTAATAATGCGCCACAGGAAGTCCGTGGAACCGCGCAGTTCAAAGCGTTCACACTCGCCCAGTTCGGTTTGCAGTGTCAGAGCCGACCTGCTGAGCTGTGCTGGAGGAAATCTATAGAAACAAATTTACTCCAAGTCTGGGCATGTGCAGAAGATAACAGGCTTCAATTACAAAGCTCTTTCTCCTAATTGAAAAAGCAGCTAATAGCTTAAGTGCTCGCTATCTGGGGTAGCTAAAATAATGTGCAGGGGGCTCACTGGGTTGGGACGCTTACAGTATGCCTCTGGCTGTGGGTTTGAACCCTGAAGCAGATACATCTCTTTCCTGACACTCTCCACTGTGTGCCATTCAATAAAACTGAAATGCCTCCTCATATATCAGGGGAGATTGTGCTGCATTGCCTGTATTGTGACGCAAACGGTGCTACACACCATGGCTGCACAGCATGGGCTTCTTGTACTGCAACCTAGTCCTGACACAAGTTTTTCTAATAAACACGATACTGTATCAGATTGAATAACGCAGCCGATTAAACATGCAGAAAAATCCGGCTGTTCAAAGTGTCAACACACACCCACGGGGAAAAAAATCCCATCACATTTTTAACTACTGAGGCTGCTCCCTTGAGCTGTAGAGGGCATGGAATAACAAAGCTGAGGGAAGTCTCGGCTCCTTACCTCTGATGGGCTATTAGTTATTCTAGCTAGCAGAAGCCCCATTAGGTCTGCCATTTAATGCTCCCATGCCACATTCTCACATGAAAGCTACAAGATTGATAAGCCAACCATCTCACCTCAAGCTTCTCTCGCATTTGAGAAATGCTCTGCCGCAGATAATCTGACAAAGGGCTGATTTAGCTACCTGTGTACCGTCTTGGCATGTGACATTACTGAAAACAATGAAGCGTATTTGCGCCGGCCTCTCCGGTGACTCCAGTGAAAGGACGCAACAAGAGTGTGAGCGGCGCTGCAGCACAATCCACTGACTTAAAACTTATAGAATGATTTATAGGCTCCATGTGGAATATAGGAAATGAGCTGTGTGGCAGTTTGAGATAAAACTTTGTCTCTGAGCTGAGCTGACAGGCACAATGGAGAAGAAAGATGTCTCCGGTACTCCGCTGCATGTCTGCTCAGTCCGACAAAAGGTGCAGCTAAGTTTCCTGTGACACGACAACAACATGTCCTGTTAATCACACTTAACCATACTGCCAAATGGGGAAAAAAAGCTGGTGGACAAAGGAAGATGGATGCATGGCATTAAGGAGGGAAAAAAGGCACAAAAAAAAATCTGCCTAATCAAGCATGAGCAAACTGATTAGTCCTTCTGTCTCAATCCCTCTGCGCCGTACAGCGGGTCAGACTCAGGCGTGTGAAAGAATTTAAACTCTTTTGAAAGTTTCAGTTCTTGAAGCCCGATAGAGATAATACACTGTAAAACCTGATGACTAAGCACAACTCAAACTGTTGGGAGTTAATAAGCCAAACGATTCCCTCACACAATTTAAAAATAGATGAAAGAAATTCATTCAATTTGAGTACAAGTAACGAGTGTTTATTGTGACTTGGATAAATTAAGCTAATGGTACCAATTATAGTCAGTTAATTGAACCTAAAACTGGTAAATATATTACACTCTGTAAAACTTCCACGAAAGTGTAACTACACCCTTCTGTCCTGCTAGCTCCTGCTGTGTGTGTGACTGTGGGGGGACAGATTTCCATAAATTTGTTAATAATGTCAATTTTGAAAGCAACAATGACGTCTTTCATCGCAGTATAAGCATATAATTCAGTTTATAGCTCAAAAACCATTTCAGTCACTGAACTCTTTCATTCCTTTTACTCAGCAACAATGGAAATACAGATTGTTTATTTAAACCAGTATGAATATTACTTACTAAAACTTAGGCTTTTGAATCACATATTAATGACAAATTATTAATTTGATCATTTGATACTTTGGTGCTCGTGGTTTCTGTGACATTCACAGAAGGATTGAATTGTGGAGACAAAAGTTTAAACATTTATATTTGTGTAGGCGATCTAAGCAGCTTGAAACTCGCTCAAGAGGTTTTATACATCCAAAGAATTTCTATAGAATAATTGAGACCTGCTTTTATTTATAAAAACATGGAGTCACCAGGCTAGTAAAGGAGACCCTGCTTTTGACTGATGTGTTACAGTATGCAGCATTACTCAGTACAGAATTGATGGTTATGTTACCACTTAAGTTGAATTAACTCTTCCACTAAAGCAAATTATGACATTACCTGTCAAAGCAGCTGATGTACGAGAAAAACTCTTTACAATTAATCAATTATCAAAATGGTAGGCAATTAATCTAATTGTTACTGCTGTAATTAAGTTGTTAACAATGGCCTGCTTATCTTTATGTGACTTTACACTTTGGGGGACCATTAAGAATGATCTGCATGCATCTTTGATGATTAAATCTGATTATTTAAATAAACTGAAAAAGGTTTAATGAGAATGTGTGATGGAACATTTTCTGGAGGATTAAGTTGTGTTAACTTACTTGTTTTAATAACATATGCTGTTGGGTTTTACAGTGAGCACAATGCAGTTTGTTACTGCAGCAGTACACAAAAGCCAGACAGAAATTGAGCCCAAAAGCGTAATTTATCTTTTATATGGCTGCAGGCCTTTAGTGTTCTCCAGCCTGCGGTGACTGTTTGAACTTGAGATTGAGATTGAAGATTTTAAAAAACTAATGAGTAAAATCGTAAGTACACAATTGCTAAAGGCAGAGAAGGGAGGACGGGATATATGATCAGCTGGTGTGAGTGTAAATATTAACATTGATAACAGCAACAAACAAATATGAAAACTCACACGACTGGTGTGTTTGCCACTACAGCTGTTGTAGCAAACGCACAGGATAGGAGAGGACCACCTGCACAGTGACTTGATCCAATACATTTTTATCATCCCGTTCTGGACAGCAAGCCATTTGTGAATAAATAACAGACTGGCTGTTAATACACAGATTCATCAATGAGCTCTTTTATGTCAGGGATGAAAGATGAGCCCCCACTTTGTTTATCGTGCATCTTACTGTATGCAAGTTATCCAGGGAAAGGGAGCTGCCACTGCAGTTTCGGCTAATGGGAATCATATTTTAGCAATAAAACTGCATGATTCAGGACAACAGCTGGGTAATCATATGGAACTGAACAAACCCAGCATATTGCAGAACAAGTCACCATGCACCGACCTTTACTTCCTTATCCCAGAACAGACAAGAGCAGAGGAGAAAAAAACACCAAGTATTTTTCTCCGCAGATTGTTAGAAAATTTACCTCTCATGCCTCGCAGTGGAAATGGATTTTTGGAGGGCAACGGTCATACCTCGCATTCCCTGGAGCCTGAGATGGTGTATGTGTAAGGTCCTGTCCCATTAACCAGCACATCCATAGTCTCTGAGTGTGAAGGCTTGTAGTCCACATAGTACTCTTGCAGTGGTGAATTAAGGGAGCGCTCAGTCTCCCGTGCCTTTTTCTGACGCTTTTTAACCGCCGAGCGCTGCTGAAGCTGCTTGATGCTGCTGGGATAGCGCTTCCATGAGACGTAGATAACCAGTAGAATTATAGCCACAGATAAGAGGAGGGCCACGCTACCGGCTATGATCTTGTGGAAGGACACATACTCAGTGTCGGGCAGGGGGATGGTGGGGGAGGCCTCGGAAGGAGTAGGGGAGGCTGTCCTGTTCCAGATTAGCTTCTTATCCACCACGGGCTGTGTGGGAAGAGGCTGCAGCTCGGGATGAAACACGGGAGTGAGGGGCGATGTCGTTGAGGGGATGGGGGTGGGTGTTGCTCTACAGATGTTATAAGTCTCCACCACATCTGTCACCTTCTCTCCTTGTGCCTCCTTCGGGCCGGCACAAATCATAGTGGACTCCTTGTTGCCCTTAAAGGCCTGCAGCCAGGCCACCAGGGGACATATGTTGGGGTTACAGAACCACAGATTACCCGCCAGACTGATGCTGGTGAGGGAGATCCAAGCCTCCACCGCCTGCTGGGACACATTGCTGAGCTTGTTGGAGTCCAGGTTAAGAGTCTGCAGGTTGGGGAGGCATTGAAAGGTACTCGGGTCCAGCACCTGGAGCTCATTTCCTGAGAGGTCCAGCTTTTGCAAGGAAGTCCACATCCACGGCAGGCCCTGGGTCAGCAGTTTGATACGGTTCCACTGCAGATAGAGCGCCCTCAGGTTGGTCAGACGGGGGAAATGAGCAAAGTTAATCTTTGAGAACTGGTTGTGCTCCAGGTGAAGCTCGATTAGCTTAAGGAGTCCCGCAAAGGCGTTACGTGTGAGGCTCCGTAGCCTGTTGTAGCCAATATCGAGAAACTCCAGGTTGCGACAGTCGAGGAAAACTCGCATCGGGACTGTTTTCAAGGAGTTTGACCTCAAGTGTAAACTGAGGAGTTTCCGTAGACCCAGGAACTGATTTGGCTGGAGAAACTGCAGCTTATTGTAGGAAAGGTCGAGATTACGCAGATTGGGAACATCGTGGAAAGTGTTGTTTTTCAGCTGTGTGATCTTATTGGAGCTGAGGATCAGTTCTTTGAGCCTCCGTATACCATGGAAAGCCTGACCGTCCACGGCGTTGATGTAATTGTGGTCGAGGTAGAGCCACACGAGTTGACTCAGGCCTGCGAACTGGTGGGCTCTGAGGTTGGCCAGGCTGTTGTAACGCAGGGAGAGGCCCTGCGTGCCTACAGACACATTGCTTGGCACGTCGCGGAAGGCATTGGATTCGCAGTATATTATTTTCCCATCACATCTACAGCTCTGGGGGCAGGGACGCTCACGGATGCCACTCGGAGCAGCAAGCAGCCAGACGGGCACCACCACTGTGAACACAAGCCATCTGAAAAGCACGAGAAGTCCTGCAGACACAGAAAAGTGAAGACTTAAAAGCATAAAACATGTAGAAATGAAGACAAATACACACAGACTGTACAGCAGAATTAATAATAACAGAAATGAAACTGAATCGGGAACCGAACAGTGTCACCCACACTGTTCTGATGCATTTGTCAACAGAGGAGGTTGTTCGCAGCCTACTTCATTTACATCCCTGTGTTCATGGCACACTTACATTCATCATCACAGTCAAAGTCATGTTCTTGAGACACTGGAAAGGTGATTGATCACCACATGCATCAGGCATTATCCGTCAAATAGTTGTTGAGAGAGAAAAAACCTCCTTCAGATCCTGAAGCCTGCAGTCATCACTCATAAACCGCAGGGGGGGCGAAGACACCAGCAACATCAGCTTTAAGTGAATTAAAGGCAAACCACTAAAGACTTTGCGCAGAAATGCAGACCACAAGTAGCTTGCGGAACAGTGTACGTACCCATATTTGCGCGGTGTCGGCTTCTCCTCATGTTTTAGGGCTCTCTGTTGCAGGTCCACATGTTAGACGCACTCGGCGTTTGGTCCAAATAGTTGGACACGCACCCAGGACGCCCGTCTTCACGGAGAATATACGCACTTTGCGCCGCAGTCAGACCCGCTTTGCGCACGGCCGCACACCTGTCGGAGATTTGAGTAGCTCCAGAAGGTGTGCACCAACCTCTCTCTGCCTCTGTTACCGCACAACATCAGCCTGATAATGCATATTTCTATCCCACCTTACAAAGCCCTTGAATGGACGCGCTCAAGCCTGTAGCTGCGGGAGGATGACACTGAGCAGAGCGCGTCTTTGGGAGGCTATAAAATACATCTTAAACACCGAGTCGACAGTTGTTCAATCTGGGTTAAGTGGCAGAAAAGACGCAGGAAAACCGACCAAGTCCAGAAATTTGAGAGGAAAAAAACCCCCAAACTGTGGTCCAAAGCCGACAAGTTGGATGGATTCAGCTGTGGACAGCGGAGGGAAAAGGCGCAGTCTGCTGTGGATTAGACCCGTTGACCGTGGCATCAAGAATAAATCAGTTGTATAGCAACAGGAATGATGTTGGTGGAGGATTATACTGAGCTCACTGGTGCTGGTTTCAGGACTTGAGATGCCCTCTCCTGGTCACTGAGTGACTCTCCGCAGCCCACACCACCAGTAGACTTCATTGTCCTCATGAACAGAGTCTGCATATAAATGCTCTGCTCCTCCACTGCCAGTCAAACTGCACATATATCTCATGCAACACGTTCATTTTGTGAGATTAAATGCAGAAAAATATATAAAGTTTGTCACTTTTATGTTGACTACAGGCTCACATGACAAGTAGAAACTCATTATACAGACAGAACTGCAGGGGACCCTGGGAGAGCTTCACAATGTGCTTTTTTTTTAATCTTTATCATCTCGGATTATGTGTACAATGAGGCTGTAATTGATGTGTATGTATATCATTAACTGATTATTAAATATTAGCTCTACATGGTTGCAGCTGTGAGTGTGAGCTCCCCCCAAAGCCATGTTGATATATATTATATATATATATGTGTACTAATATGTTGTTGGAATATCATTACTGATGCATTAATGAGCATTGTGGATGTTGCAGCTGATATTTCTTTCTTTAATTTATGCCTTTTAATACAGAATGCATCATATTGCAGAAGTTCATTACATGTTTTTACTACAAATCTTAATCTGCAAGTAACTATATTAAATATAAAATGTATATGATGATGTTTTCTCCAAAAGGCAGTGGAACAGAAGGACTGTAACACACTTTATGTGGTAGCTTGGGATAAAAACCACCTGAGCCACATTGTTAAGGTGGCTGGGAAGGTGTGAGGTGTCCCACAGACCCTCCTGATGGCTAAGACAGGCCTGTACTGGACTGTATAAACCAGCTCTTCCCTCGGGCCGTTAAAGTAGCATGACTCAAGTGCAGTAGGAGTAAAACCTCCTTTGTTCCTCGTGCAAATACCCGGCTTCATTCGCACGTGTTGTTTTAATTTTAGCACCTTATTTGCGTACGTGTAATCTCAGCATCTAGGATCATAAAATGTACTTTAAAAAGGAAGTGAATTACGTTACTTGAGTAAATGTAGCTACTTAATTACTTCCTCCACTGGTAGTTAAGTCACATGTTCTGTTGTGGTGCCACCTGCCGATAGTTTCCTGCATTAATTGCAGTTTTATGTCGTGCAGTACCTGACGCAGTAACAGCAGTATGTGGCCGGTGCTGTTTCTGATTATACTGCTGGTCTTCCGAAGCCGCAGTGTTGGCAGGAGCTGTAGTGAACCCCCGCTGACCTCAGAGGACCCCCAGTGGTTCTAATATGATTCTTAATTAGTGCTTCATAAGCAGGTATAGGCCTGTAATGGAAAGGTCAGCTTGTTAGGCCTAAGTTTGTGTCACCATGAGAAACAGTAACAAGCAAAGAAAAACAATGTGTATTGTGTCGTATTGTGTCTCTATAAGCAGGGACGTAGCACAATATTCTGGACCCTGTGCACAAACATACTCTATGGGCCCCTTCGCACATGAGGACCCTGTATTCAGTCCCCATTCACCCTCAACTATAGGCTCCAGATGTTGTTGCCATTTCTAGTGAAACATTCAAACATAATATCTAATAATACAACCCACAACCGGCTCCTGGTCCCTTCCCCCTGAAGGTCAGATCCTCTAACCCGCCCCCCGACCCCGGAGTGTCATACACACTCACAGATACCAGGATGGGGGAGGAAACGAGGGAATAAAAAAACTAAAAATAAACTAAAAATAATAACTAACTATACTTAAAAAACAGGGTGGACAACATTATAAATAACCTAAATAAATAAATAATTTACAACTATACAATAAAAAAGGGAAAAAATAAATAAATGTTTTAATTAATTATTATATAAATGTATTAACACAACAAAATAAAAACAAAGAAAATGAAAGAAAATACTAAATAAAAAAATAAAATTAAAATAAAACTAAAAATAATTAATACAATGATATAAAAGAAAGGGAAAATAATAATAATAATAATAATAATAATAATAATAATAATAATAATAATAATGATAATAAATAAATAAATAAAAACTAAAACTATACTTTAAAAGAGGGGAAAATAATAAAATTAATTAAATATAAATAAATAAATAAATAAAAATCACTAATTACTAATCTAATAACTGAGGGGGTGTCAGCTCATTTGTCTGTTGATTGTTGATAATCAGGATGTAAATATGTTCTAAAAAGCGTTGCCAGGTCCAACAGTCAAACATTTCTAAATCTACATACTAACATGCTTTCTTATATTATCTGATTATCTGATTAAAAACGTTTGACTGGTTGGATCAGAGGACAACAAATAGAAATGTGTTTATTATTTATTTATTTAGTCTTAAATATAATTTTTAAAGCTCCTCTGGGACTCCCCCCCCCACTCATTGTTGCGTGTTGACACTGAAAAGCTTCATGCGTAAACATAAGCTGCTTTAAAGGCCTCATAATGGGGACTTTGAGTCGAGGTCAGAACCATCACTCCTAATGGGTCCCTCTGCCCCCGTACTTAATGAGTGGCGTAATTACCTGTGATGGACATTAACGAACATTTGACCTCAAGTTGCGGACAGTTTGTGACGAAGAGAATTGGCGGAACCAAAAATAAAACTAATGCATCTGGCACCTCGGCAGCAGCCACTGATTTAATTTCCATTGTTGGATCAATCAGCTAACTGGAGTTGAAGGACGGGGCAGGAACCTGAACACACACACACAGCAAGGTGAGTGGAAGAAACACACTGTGGATATAACATCCTTCAGGAAACTGTATCTGAAGATTTTATGGTGAAAAACTGTTAAAACATGTCAGTAAAAGTTAAATACAGTTCCTGTAACGGTGAAATACAGTCATATCTCATGGAAAAACTTTATTTAAATGGTGTTTTGAAGGTATTTATATGTAATAAAGTCTTTTTTTTAAGATTACAGACTGGAAATTTCACAGAAAACCACCGTCGTACCTCACCAGTATTTATACGGTATTTTCATAAGGAAAAGCTGTTTCTTTTAATGGTAAAAACTTGTATTAATACAGTAAAATATGGAATAACAACTGTAAAATCAACAGTATTAATATCCTTTTACCATAATAGTAGAAAGGTTTTACCACAGCTGCCAGTTTTTTACCATAAAAATACTTTTTAAAGCGTGTAGATGAATCATGGATGACATGTCTTTCATTAAATCTATCAAAATTAAGATGAAAGATAAATATACATTTTTAAATACAAAATACACTGATAAGACTGTCCCAAAGCATTTTACCTGGTATTTCTTATCTATTTGTGACAAATAAGTCATTTAAATTTAAGGTGTTCAAAAATATTGTTATTTTTGTCTCTACTTGCTTTTCAGTGAGTCTTTTATTAGGATGTTGCAGCTCCTCTTCCTGGGATCCACACAAAACATAAAAAACAGATAAAACACAAAAAACACCACATATATATAAAGAAAACTATATTTTACCTCAAAAACACTTTATTATACACATTCTCATATGTATTTATATATATGTGTGTTTATTCCTCCAGCTTTTAATCTTTGTAGTGCATCTGAATGATTGTTGTATTTCTTTGTTTTATTTATATTTATATTTATATAATCGTGCACTCTTTTTGTGGAAATCACAATAAAAAACCTTGTTACACTGAATTCATTAGCACTGAATGTACATACACAGTGAAACCGACAATGTGTTTACATTCCTCTATAAGAAGAAAGAAAATGTACAAAATGGGGCTACAGGACTATAAACTGTTGCTTCTAATGTTTTATAAAGCTCGTTTTATTGTATAATTTAGTAGCTCAGTGTGTAGGGACTTGGCTTGGGAACCGGAGGGTCGCATGTTCAGGTCCCACAGACCACAAAAATATGGAGTGTGGACTGGTAGCTGGAGAGGTGCCAGTTTCACCTCCTGTGCACTGCCGAGGTGCCCCTGAGCAAGGCAACCTAACCCCAAAAGAGGGTGGGACTGGCTACGGTTTCCCCCCCGCAGATACAGTGCAAGGGTTGGGAAGCATAGGGATAGAAAGGAGGGTTAGATTAGATTGATGCACGTAGTCGTTGGGGACACGTGTTGGAGGGTTTGGGTCTATATTATATCCCCCGACAGGAGTTAACCTTCAGAACTGGGTTGGCAACGGCGCTGCGTTACACGTGTTTTGCTGATCTTGTTCTCCTCCAGCGAGCCTCAGTAAATTCCGCTGTGTAAGTCATCAAGGCCTCCTGAATTCTTCATCCAGTTCGAGTGGTTCATCTTCTTCACACCCAGAAAGTGCAGAGCAAACACTGGCTCCACGTAGTTTCAGTTTTTCTCCTTAAAGCTTGGAAGGGGAGGGTGAAATGAGGGAGTTGCGATCAGAGAGTGACATATTTTAAGTTTATTTCATATCATATTAAAAACTGTACAATGAACCTCAAACAGTGAACTCAGTAACAACAGGAAGTTAGTGTAAAATGAGAGATTTGGATGAATTTCGAGCAGATTATTTCCTGTTTAGGGAACTTTTTATACAATTCTTTGTCTGTATTATGTATTTTTTTAATCATTTTTAACAATCTTTTGACAAATTCAGTGTTTTCTTGTATTAGACAATTTACTTTGCAGAGATATAAACCTACTGTATAGGTTTTTTAAGTTTTCTTACTATCTTAAAATCAAGAAGGCCTCACAAGCCCCAGGTTGGGAACCACTGCTTTAGAATGAGCCACATGTATTTTAGGAAGCAGCTCCTCTTCTGGTGGAGTCCGCCATGTTGAACCGCCATGTTTGTACAGTAGCACAGAGCAGACAAACCAAACACTGGCTCTAAATACGGGCCTTTCGTGTTTAAGTTTCACGTTCACTGTAGTTTCTCCTCCTCCTGGTTGCAATCTGTTATTTTATTCATAAGAATATACTGTTCATGGTCTCCTTTTTCTTTATCCACAAGTCAAAGCGCTGGTCATTTTACTGTGTATATTCTTCTGAATCTGATGTATGGAACTGAACATCCAGACGTTGTTATGAGTGCTTTTATCTGTGGTTGTATTTCTGCTCTTT